TAGGTAACCTATATATAGGCATGTGGTACAATCTCTTCTTAGTCACCGAAAATCTACACTTTCAGCATCATTCCCCAATTGTCTCCTATGCTTGGTGCTTTAATGGACTGGGCCGAGCTAGTTTATTCATCTTACTGGCAAAGCAGTTTAATGAGAACTGCTAATAACTTTTCAACTTTAAACTCTACAGAGTAACCAGAGATTCTGCATGCTTTCATCTAGAAGCAGAGGTTCAACTTCTGACACAGCATATTTCAAATTACTGCGGTTCAAGTTAAGCTTTCGCCTTCAGAAGTTTCTGAACTCTGCTTTCAGAGACATTAATGACACAAGCATCATTGCTGCGTGTCCACTGTACAGACATGGGCCACTGAAACGGAAAGCCTTATTTTGTTGCCATGAGAACTGCTTTCTATGTTCTGTGCTAATGATTAAATACTTAACAGAAAATACACATGAGAAAATAAATTTTTATTCTAAAATACACAATCAGCCCTTCCTGGTCTACTATCATCTCGACGGCACAAATTCAATCCCCAGGCCAGGGAGCTGGCCTACAAGGTGCCCCAGACCTCTCCTGTCTCCCTGCTGCTCCCCTCAGCAGTGGGCTTCAGTCATTCTGCCTGTTCTCCTCCCCACTCTGTCTCTGGTGAGTTCTCTCAACCCTGCAACCTCTGGCTTCCATTCTAGTTTTTCTATGCAAAAATAAATGAAATCTTAAAAAAAAATATGCAAACCTTATCACTCTCTACACATACATAAGGAACAAAGACATCTATAAAAATGTAAAGGGGAGTGTAAATAACTTATGATGGGCAAAATGTTAGGCACAGGTAGAGAGTCCCTTTCTTCGGTGTTACGACTTAAGACTGAAGCCCCTGCTAGGTAACTAACGTACACCTGAGGGGAGAAATCAAGCATTCCACAAAAACAGTGATGTAAAAGTAAAATAAAACAAAGGGAAAAACCAGGGTATCAGAAAACGCCACACTAAAACATGCCACTTTGCCACAAGATTATTTTGAGCTTAAAGCAACTGAGAATCAACTGATGGAGGAAGAGTTCTCTGCTCCCATCTTATCTGTGTAAAAGCAGGACAGAAATGTTCCTCTGGGGACGGCATCTGTTCCACATACTGGGGAAAGTAGAAGGAATCTTATCATCGAGGGCAAGTGTAAAGCTCTTAGACTCAGGGCTGGTTTTGGTTTCACTTCCTCTCCATGAACTCCCCAGCACAAATATTAGTCTGCCCTGCCGAGTAACTTGTGTTTAAATCACATGTCTGTAGGTACCAAACATAAGAGGGTTGAGAAAAAGCTTTATTTGGCTCTCACAACTGTGATTGAACTGCCGTCCTCAGGGAATGAGCATTATCAGAATCCTTCCACGCCAGCACTCACAAACGCATGAAAGGGAACCACCAAATCAAACAAAATATAAAGTATGAAGGGCACACCACAGTTTGTAACCCATACAACTGATTCGCATGCAAAAGGGAGCTGACAAATTACATCGCTGCTTTCACAGAACACAGAGCACAATTCCTGTGTTCCCAGCAGGACAGAGGCATTCCCGGGGCGGCGGAGGCTGAGTGGGAAGCCCAGTGCCCATCAGTCCTAACAGGGCCACTCTTTATCCTGGCCTGTGTGAGAGCAGAGAAGGCCTGAGAGCAAGGCCCTTTAAATTAAATCCAGAGTACCATAAGGTAATTCCCATGATGGACAGGATATGATCCAAGAGCACTTATCGGATCATGAAACAGAAAAAGCTTAACACAAATGAGGGCAAACGATGGTCAGATTCCAAAAGCAAGAAGATGGTACAGCTGGATTTACCTGACGGATGAGTAAGCAGTCATAGTAGATGTACTTTAATGAGCAATTCATTTGAAAGCAATGGGAAATACAGGCAATCTCTGAACTAAACAGACCCTAGGATTCTGAGTTAAGAATCAAGGCTACCGGAGTGCAACGGGGAGCAACAGGGGAGGGGCCCGACGGGGACTCAGTGCAGGGCTGTAGCAGAGGGCTGTGTGAGCGCTGCCTCGCCAGCATACTGGGGCTATAAGCCAGCATCGCCTCCATTAAAAAAAAAAAAAAGAAAGAAAGAAAGAAAAAAAAACTTTTAAAACATAACAACTCACTGAAAAGAGGACATGTCAAGAAGACAGCACATTTATATGAGAACCAAAGTTCAGTAGTAGAACTGAATAAAAGTAGCTGAGATATAAAATTTAATGGACAATCTCAATAGCAGAATAATAATAATAATAATAATAATAATAATAAGGAAAGGCTCAGTGAGCCTGATGAGAGAATATAAATGACCTAAACTCAACAACAGAAATCAAATGAAATGGACAAAAAAAGTGAACAGACGAATGAGACTTTAATGAACAAAAGATGTCATATTGATGTCATCAGAGTTGTAGGAGATGAAAGGGAAGGCTGAGGAAACGTCTGCAAAGAAAGTGCTTAAAACTTTCCCAAGTTTGTGCTAAACATGGAGCTTCCCTACGACCCAGCAATCCCACTCCTAGGTATCTACCCAAAAGACACAAAAACACTGATTGAAAAAGATACCTGCACCCCCATGTTTATTGCTGCTTTATTTACAATTGGAAAGACATGGAAGCAGCTCAAATGCCCAAAAGTAGATGACTGGATAAAAAAGATGTGGTACATATATACAATGGAATATTACTCAGCAACCAAAAAAGAGAAACACATGTCTTTTGCAGCAACTTGGATGGAGCTGGAAAAGATCATGCTGAGTGAGATAAGCCAGAAAGAGAAAGAAAAATACCGGATGGTTTCACTCATAGCAGGAGTATAATGGACCAGGCGAGAAAATAACAAAAATAATGAACAACCATAGACCAGAGACATTCTGTGGGGGTGGAGTGGGGAATGGGATCAAAAACGGTGGGGGGGGGGAAGGGAGGGAAATGCACGGGACTATGGTGGTGGCACACGGGTGATTTGGTGATGGGAAACCCGCGGGGATTACAATCGAGATGGAAAAAAAAATGTGCAAAATGATGTAAAAATAAACTTCGTAATTAAAAAAAAAAAAAAAAAAACTTTCCCAAGTTTGGCAGAAGGTAGCAGTCTCTACATTCTGGAGGTGAAATCAACACTAAATGAGAGAAATTCTAAGAAATCCAAGTCTAAACATACAAAATTCAAACTTCGAAACACTATAGACAAAGGGAACTCTTTTAAGCAGCCAGATGTAAATAAACAACACCTTGCTTTCAGGGGAGAAAGCGAAAAAGGAGTATTTTGCACTCCAAACTGGGATTCCAGGGGGAAAAAAATGGTATACCACTGGGAAAAGAAAAACAAAGCAATTGTCACTTTAGAATTCTATGCACCTGATCAAATATCCTTCAGGACCGAAGAGGGGTAGGGGGTTAGGCGGGGGAGGGGAGGGTCAGACATGCTTGGGGGGGGGAGACTAAGACTTTGTTGCTAGACAAGGAAATTCTTAAGAAAGGAAAACATCAAAGAAGGCCTCTTGGAGTGTCAGCAAACAAGCAGGAACAATGGCTGAGCAGTCCAGGGTGGGGTGTGACGAAGCAGTGAACAGCAGGGGAAGGCTCTGCTCTCCAGTCTCCAGCACACAGGGTCACAACGTGCTGGACATGCTGGACTGTATTCCTCTTCTCTCCTGACTACAAAGCCACGATTTACGTGACTCTTACGTGAGTCTGCACAGGATCCAGGGGAAGCCAGGTTCCTCCCTGACCCACACACCTAAGACTGACCAAAACCAGTTCCTTAAGCCATTCCTTTAACTGGTATTTGACTCAGACAAGGGCATGAGAAGCGAAAAGGCTTATTAACATCTATCTGCTGAGAGAGTGTTGGGAAAGATGGTCCCTACAGGTAAACATGTATGAAAAGGTAATTGAGCGAAGACTTGTTTCTGTGTTTGCAAGTCAATGTTGATACCTGAAAAGGAAGCTGCCAACTTGAGAGCATCAAGGAAACTTGAACATGAAGATCAACCCATATGCTCCTCAGAACAGTTACAAAAATGGAATGACCTTGTTTTCTTAATGGCATCACTGAAGAACCGAGTTAGCCAAACCCAGAAGTAACCTAACTTTAGACTCATAGTAGAATAAAAAACACTTTTTAAAATCTAGTCCCCAAACAACACATAAAAATGTGACCCAACAAACTATTTATGAATGTATTGTAATTAGACCACAGTTAATATATCATTGGATCCTTAATATTCTTTCTTTTCCCCAGCCACTGTCACTATTACCACCACCACCACCACCCTCCTCCAGCCAGTCAGTGCTGTGTGTCGCTCAGCAAAACTCACTACTTTTGCTTCATTCTTGAGGGAACCTCAGTTTATACACACTAGTTACTTTCAATCCATCTTGACAATCCCATTCCCCTGGCTGGTGAAAGGCTCAGGGTAGAAATGTGAACCAGTCCCAGCCAATGAATGAAAGAGAGGTTTACTGGCAAGAGACAATGTCTTCCACTGGCCATTATGTTGACCGGTGACAGCCTGATCATACCAGTTTCCTAATATAGTCGATGAGCTGGAGTCAAAGACTGGACTTTCATGCTGCTGTTGAACTACCAATTTAAAAGAGTCTCCCTTCACTCCCCTTGTTATACAATAAATCACACATCTTCTTAAAAATGTCCAAAATTTACATTTGTGTCAACCATTTCTGTATCCCAAGATGACACTGAGAATACACTTATGATGTCACAATGAATAATGCAGAAGGAAAGAGACTCGACTTTGTTTCACTTATGATGAGTAACTTAAATTTTAAATAGACATAGCTTCAAAAGAATTAAGAGTATGTTATTATGAAGATATGTAAAGCATTATGGGTTTCTTGAAAAATGTATAGATAGGTTCATCAATTTGGACTGTGCAGATGACAATAAAAACCTAGTAAATTCAAAATGGTCTCTAAATAGACAGCAAATATATATGAGGACAAAGTGTGTTATACTTACAAGTCAAAGACCAAGTAATGGAAGCCTTCTTCTGATATGCTGTCATGAAGTCGTACTACAAAATAAAGAGAGAGGACCGTATGAGTTATACATATGTGCCAGAGCTCAACATTAAGCAATATTTCTAATAGGCAACTGTCTCCTAGGTAAACATGCCATCATCACTCTGCAGTTGAGCCTCTGAGAGTTCAGTATTTTACAGAAGGGCCCTGCCCAAGGTTTACATTGTGATCATTATTAACTATATAATTCATTAGCTTGCAATGATAACAGTACTGACACTTTACAAAATGGTTGCAAAGATTAATTTAAAAATTAATGGTTGCAAAGATTAAATCAAAAGCAAAAAGCTGTTCACACAGTGCCAGGCTATGCCTAAATAAATGCTAGTGACTGTTACAACACGTACCATATAGCCAATGCCACCAGGTTCCAGCAATTCTTTCCTGGGGTCCCTTTCTTCATCCCCCTTTGGAGTCACCCTTGCCCAGGTCCTCAGTGACAGCCTTGCTCACTGAGTAGGCAGCAGACAGGGTCAAAGCACCTTTCAGAAATGGTCTCTGGACTCTGCTTTATGTTTCCTACCCCCCGCCCCCAGGAAATTCCCACAAAACACTCCTTGGCCAAGTTGCAAAAACAGTGTTAACTATGCTCCTTCCAAACCCAAGTTTCCAGACTCATCAGTCCAGGAGTACAGCTAGGACATTTCATAAAGTGATCTACTGCCCCCTCAAATTAACTTGGCTTTCAAGTTTCCACTAAGTTAGACCTTTGCTGGTAATGTGCTGCGACAAATCCTTCTCCCTTCTGAATTGAAAATAATGTCTACTCTGAACTCACAATGCACCTATTGCTTTCTATGCAATTATTTTTGGGTAAGTCATCTACTTCCCCCCAACTCATCCCCACAGATGATAAGCTCTTCCCAGGGATCCACATCTCTTGTGGTAGCTGAACTTTCACCAGGAGCAACACAAGGCAGGAAAAACAAGAAACAGGCACACCGTGTTTTGCCAAGTCACCACCAAACGATGATGGTTTCTACACGGTCTGCCATTACCACATCCCCCCGCTCAGCTATGATCAGCCACATGGGCTCCAAGGAACATGTCACGCACCATGCAGTCCTGGGCAGGGGGCACCTGTCGTGCCCACGGGCCACCAGCCAGGTACACAGGCTTTTCATGTCCATTCTTTCCAGTGTGATTCGGTCCCCTTCTGATTGGACCCATGACCCACTACCAGAGCCTTTTCTGAATCCCTCTCCAGAAGTTTCTGAAAAGTAGGGAGAACTTTGTTTCCCCCCATACTGAAGGGATATCACCTCAGATATGTGGGTTTTTCCATAATCATCATGAGGAGGGGCCCATCACTGTGCGTGTGGCCTGGAAGTTGCTCACAGACCCTTGATTTGTGTTGAGAGCATGAAATGGACAAACAACAGTCTCCCACACCTTGGCTTTTCCTCATACCATCAACCTTAAGTTCACAGAGGACCGCAGTCCACGTTTTATTAACCAAGTCTCATTCCTGCCTCTTTCTGAATACAAAGATTTTCTTCTCCTCTATACCAATACACAGGAAGCATCATCCCCACGTCCTCACATCCTTCTCAGAGACGTGGCACATAAGAGAAGCTCTTTTACACAATCACCTTTGACCATCCTCTACCAGGGGCTAGATAGCGTTCCAAGTTTCTGGACAAAAGTTATCACCAAAACTCAGTCATAAAATGACTGACACACCAACACGTCTCCCGTAACCCTAACCGCACGGACGGTATTCTTGGATTTGCACAAATCAAAGCTGTCTGCACCCTTTTGTTAACTTAAAGCTGCCAAACAAAATCTGAACTTTGGTTCAGTGATGTGTCTCTGGTTCACAATTGATTAGCCCAGGAAGGAAAGTCAGGTCAGACAGGTAACTCGGTCATTTCTGAAGGACAGTCTCACCAACACCTCAGGAGTGGCTCTAACACTAGCTGCTTAACAGGTATCAGATGATGGTATAACTACTTGGAGAACTCAGTTATTCTGTGAGGCTCTCCATACTCTCAATGGGAATAGGGCAGGTTGGGACAGTTACTCCTTTCTTCCACTTTCTCCAGGTAAAAGCTTCATGTGCAGGTGGGACCTCAGGTTTATAGCACAAAGAGTTGTGGCACTACACGTAAGTGGAAAAATCCAGGTAAAACTGGAGAAGCACTACTGGCTTTGGTTTCACATGACAAGGCCAACCTTGGTGATACCTGGAAATAGTCCCCGTTTGAGAGTCAGTTACTTTCCCAACAGGAGTTGCCCAGAGGCAAGACTACCAGTCAAACACATGGCATTGTTTTGGGTCAAAATCAGTCTCACAGAGGCAAGTAACCAGCAAGCATAGGGAACAGTTCAAGGAAATGTGCTTCACACACTTCCAGAATAACCACCAGGACTTCAAGTCAGTCATTGGATGACATGAGAGTCAGCAGTCGACATTCACTCAACATCACGAGTGAGTGTCACCGACACAGCCGAGGAGATCAGTAGAGCTCTACTGGGGAGAAGCAGGTCCCCAGCGCGTTCCCTTGTAACTCCACCACCTACTTCCTTCACCGTCTTTGTAGTGCAAGAAGTTGAAAAACATAACAGGATGAAACAGTTTTCAATTGTTGGCCAAGCAATATCATCCAGTCTTCATACGGATGTTCCACAACTTTACAGTTACTTAGAGAATAGACGCGTTTCCTTCGGAAGTCTTAATTGCAGACTTGACGTGTGCTCCAAAGCCTGAAGACTGTGGCTTCGAAGATCATTGACATCACCTAGTTCTCTCCAAGCCTCTTTGGTTCTACCAAAAATCTGTCTTCCATTCCTTTTTCTTGTTAAGGGTTGAAACCCTTCCCAAGGCTCAAATTGTGTTCACTGCTATGAAGTCTTACGTTCATTTTTCTCTGTAAGTAAATGCAGTTCTTGCTGACACCAGCAGCCTGCAGGCTATTCAGTTCACCACAGCGATTAGCTGTGACTGACTTCGTGGCCAGCCGCGGGCGTCTGGGCTGTGGGGGCAGAAGGCTTGGCGTCTCTCACCAGACTGCTCCCTTCCAGTCATATGCTGCGCATACAGACACACACAATTAACCTCCTTACAGCTGTCTCTAAGAAGCTTTAGAAAGAAACGTTAAAAGATAATGAGAAAAGCATTTCAGAAAAAAAGTTATTGTCCACCTGGGCAGTCGTTCTGTCTGAAGTTGGCTCAAAGGCAAAATCAAGTCCACAAATAAGTAACTTGCCCTAAACTGAAACGGTATCACTGTGCTTATAGTGAAGAAAATTCAACCTTCTAAGCCATCAAATATGGTATCTATAAGGGACAAAAAGGTGCTTCAGACACTCAAATACTTCCCAACTGGGGCTAACCTGAGGCCTAAACCTTTCCCTCTCTTTTAACCAGAGAGTCAGCGCCCATCTCGGAGCTGAGCGTGGCAGGACAGCGCGGCCAGGTTATCACAGTGCGACCAGAGAAGTCACCTGCAGCAGACCGTACCGCATCCTCCTCCTCCTCACTGTTGGCCAGCTCTGAGCAGCAGTCTTGGTTATAAATGAGGTAGCTTTTGCATTTTTACTTTGCTGTGTTGCAAGAGCTGAGGTAGTTGGATTTGATTCCCATCCTGGGATGCAAAAAAATGGCAGCTTGGTAAGTCAGATACTTTTTATATTCTCATCAGCAGTTAATTATATTTCACAGCTAGAGCAAGCACGAGCCAAGTCAGGCCAGTACTGTGCCAAGCCTTCTCAAAGACAGATGCCAGCAATGAGTTCACTTGTTAATTTAAAAAAATGTATCATTTACTACTCTCAGATATTATAACAGTCAAATGGCACCACTCGGGAGACAAATTTCAGCTCCACCATTACTACTGTTTCTTGTAACAAAGCTGGTTATTTCTAGAGGGAAAAAAAAAGTTCCAATAGAATACACAGAAGCACTAAAACCCGAATTCAAAATCACTCTTATAGTTCTAGAAAACTGAAGGCAAATCTGCACAAGTTTTTTTTTTTAATCTCTTACAATGCAAATAAAAAATACTGTGAATAAAGCTATTTTTTACCACATACACACACACTTTCTATGAAATACACACACTTTCTATGAAATTGGGTCCATGTACCTATGTTTTTTTTAAATATTTGTTTATTTATGCATACAGAACTGGGGGTACAGGCCAGAGGTTCAGGGGCAGTGAGAGAATTCACCAGAGATAGAGAGGGGAGCAGAACAGGCAGATCTACGAAGTACACTGCTGAGGGGAGCAGTGGGCGGGTCAGAGGAAGTCTGCTGCACCATGTGGGTCACCTCTGGGGCCGGAGATTGATCTAGCACTGAAGTGGCTGTGGCCAGCTTGCAGTGCTGCGCTTTAACCTGCTGTGCCACCAGGGAGGGCCACGTCATTTTATTTTAAATTGAGTGGGAATACAAGCAGATATAGACATACAGGTATTTCTACCATGCCTTTGTTGCAAATGGCAAAATGGTGTGAAAGTGCTCACACTTTTTTTTTTAAATTGCCTTAACATAATCCTTAAATTTGTGATGTAACAGTGTTGGGAAATTTTTGACTTAGGTGATAAAAACAAAGTGGTCAGTCACAGAAACTATTGTTTGCTCTAATTTTAGATATTTGAACATGTAAATCCCTAAAGTTGCATACGGGATATAATTTTGACAAAATATTTAACAATATACCCCATTAATAAATGCCTAATAAGCCACTATTCAGTACTCAGGCATTAAAATAATGTCAGGGATCTCCAATTTTTTAAAATAAAATTTTTCTAGTAGTGGTAAGAAAAGGTTTTAAAACTAATAACTAAGATTAAATTATATCTTAAAGTACGTTGTTGCTTATACTTTAGGAATGAATTTAAATTAAGAATTTATTGAAAAAGTAGAGCAAGTGCAATTATTCCATGAAAACTCAATGGGGAATGCCAGTCGCATCATTTTTTAAGAACTATTTTAAAAGAACACAATAAAAGTCACTGACTCCCAAGATCAGTCTTGAAGGTCAAAGCA